AATTTATAAATTAAACGGACTTATATTTGAAAAGAGAAATATTATTGAGTGATTTAATAGAGAGAAAAAGAACCTCATAATATCAACAAATATGAAAATTTCGTTATTTAATTTTAAAATTTAAATTTTATTATAATAAAAAAATTTAAAAAATAACCGCATTTAATTTTTTTATTATAATAAAAAATTCATAAATCGAGTCACCAATTAAACTCCCGACGTTTCTTCAAATTTCTACAGCCTTCAGCTATGCTACAAATTGTTTCATCTCCACCGGAAAAATCTGCAATCGTTACCTCGCCCAACTCCGGGACGTCACGACGTTGGTGCTGTGGAGAACCGGAAGTCGAATCTGCATCATCGATTCCAAGCGATCACTAGGGCACGACGTCTTCACGGTGAGAAGAGAGAGTCAAATGCAAAGAGAGAAGGACGTTGGAGATCGGAGATCTAAGGAGAAAATCAACTGAGATCGGAGATCCAAGGAGAACACCGGAGATCCGGAGACATCAGGCGTCGGAGAAACAGGATCTGGTCACGTGCTACGTCTCCGGCGAGCTGCGAGATCCAACACCGATCTCGTCTCTGAAGCTTCGCAGCGAACAGTGGAGATCTAAAAGGGAGGATCTGAGCGTCTCCGGAATTGTGAGAGAGACTCCGACGGAGGCCGAGGCGGAGGCGGATAGAGAGAGAGGAGAGAAAGCTCGTCGTTCGTGAGATCCCATGCGAACGAGAACGATGACGGCATGAAAACGGGCTTCCCACGCAATGGCGACGGCTTTTCTAGCCACGACGACGGCGGAAAGAATGGTCCGAGAGAGGGGAGGAGAAAGAGAGTGCGGCGGCGATGAGAAGAGAGAAATGTTAAGAGTGAATTTAGAGAAAGTCTATGGCAAGGGTCCTTGCTTTTTCCCACTTGTAGAGTACCAAATTGATTAGCCAAATTGATTTGCGTTTAACGGTTCAGTTTAAAAGAGATACACCAGATAATAATGATTTAGATTACACCTGATTAGCTAAAACAAAAACGAAAACCCTAAAAAAAAAAAAAAAAAATCGTTTCTTCTTTAAGCCAACTGCGTCTATGACCAAATGCCGGCAAACTCCTCCACCACCTCCGGCAATTCTTCGTACTCCTCCTTTGATGGCGACACGAGCCAGCTCTCCCCCACGGCCACGCGATATAGCTTGTCGCCCAAGACGACACAATCTCCTCCCCACCGCGCATCTCTCCACGGCGGCCAAACGTCTCTGCCCCACCAGCGCATAACGTTGCCCAGCTTCCTCAAAGGATCACGAGAGGTCGATGGAATTGTGAGACGGCGGGATCGGGAAATCAAGAAAAACACAGTGCTCTTTCAACTCCTTAAACCAAAAAAAAAAAATGCAGGGCACTACTCTCTCTCAAACTTGCCTCCAATCTTCACAAGAAATTTCTTGAATGCCACAACCACAAGCATGTCGTCGCTCTTACTTTCTCATTCTCAAAAGCCTTTCGCTTCTGATATAGCAAAGCATTCCAATTTTTTCATCATATAATGAACTTCTGCATCACACTTTAACTCATCAGTTTTTTCTTTTTCACTTCAATTATATGAGAATGAAATGTGTTATGAGTAGCCCAAACTCAAACTCTCTCAGACCCACTTACATCGCACATTCATGGCGGACACACAACACTCTCTCTGACGGCGAGGTGAAGTCCGTTGTCGGGGAGCGAAGAAGGACTCGTCGTTGGCATGGTGGCACGACGGGTGGTGCACAGGGGGACCGCATGCGACGGTGAGGCGTTGTATCAGCCAGGGAAAAGAAAAGGAATTTTGGGGTTTATAAAATGTTGAATATGATGTGTGAGGTTCTATTTTAAGTCAGTACTCCTTCACCTTTTTCTACCGTGTAAGACTTGAATCCAAGGGTTTTAAGTTATACTCTACTGGTAGGGAAAAATAGACATGCCCAAGAGAAAAATGAAGGAAATTAATTAATAAGTTAACAGTAACAAAGAATAAAAATAAAAAAGAAAACTCATCAAATCCTTTTCCTTCTTGTTCGGGTTCCCCGTCAGTCAACTCCTGTTAATAACACGTTGATGTGTAAAACTTGGGCGACGTGTCAATATTTGATTGAGAGACAACAAATGAGAGAACTTAAATGTAGGGCTTTAAGAAATCGAACCCGACGAACCCGGCCGAGCCAAGCCGACCCTACTCAAAAATCACGAGTTTTTAATTTTTTATTTAATTTTCGGTTTTAATTATGCCTAACCCGCACTGCGCGGGTAGGGGCGTAGGGCTTTAAGAAATCGAACCCGACGAACCCGGCCGAGCCAAGCCGACCCTACTCAAAAATCACGAGTTTTTAATTTTTTATTTAATTTTCGGTTTTAATTATGCCTAACCCGCACTGCGCGGGTAGGGGCGCGGGGTGGGGTTACATGAACCTGAGGTAACCCTGCCCGACCGAATATGTTCAAAGTAGGTAAAACAATGTCCAACACTTCAAATTCTTACTTTCATAAGTTTGTGGACTTTATGCATTTAAACTGTTAACTTATTTATGTTTTGGATTCACGATTTGTGTAAAAAATCCTTGTATGATATAGTTGTTGAATTAGGACATTCTTTATTTATATTGGAAGTGTTTGATTTCAAAGTGAGTATTTTAATTGTTCACCTTGCATTTAGACCCCCTCTTGAAAGAAAGACATGTTCTGTTTGATAATGATTTCTTCTGTAACATGCACAGATTAATTGACTAAAAAGTGATCATGTAGTCCTTGAGATCACTCTTGCTTTATGCATATTGTGATAATTGGAACAAGCACAATTTTATTGCGTAATTATTTACTACAATAGTATTTGCATATATCATTTATTGCTCATTTACTACAATAGTATTTTATCATTTATTTGCATATAAGAGCCTATTAGATTAAAATTGATGAAGTCATAGATTAAAATTGGTTTTCACCAACCCGAGTAACTCGAGTAACCCGACCCTACCCGAGGTCACCCGAAAAGTTACGGGTTTGTAGACTTAAGAGAGTGTCGCGGCCCAAAATTTTCTCAACCCGCACTGATCGGGTAGGCTCAATTTTTCGGCTCAACCCTACCCTACCCAGCCGATTTACACCCCTACTTAAATGAGATAATAGATCTCAACTTGTTGAAGGGGTAGTCTAAGAGCACATTTAGTACGGGGTTTTTAAAATTTAGAGCCATGATTTTAATTTAAATTAGTGTTTATTTATAAAAAGTAAAAAGTGGTTTTGATTTGACTCACTTAAAATTAATATTTGATTTAAATAATTTTAATTTAAGATTTGAATCATGATGTGATGTTTTAAACTATGAATCTTTCCTGATTCTAAAACCACCTTCTTGGTTTTAGGTGGTTTAAATTCCTGATTTTGTTATAGTTTCAGAATTATGATTTGAGCCAAAAATCATGAATCAATGTTCTAGTTCCAAAATCAAAACTAAAATCACCATGATTTGAACCATCATATCAAACGAAGTCGATTTTTCAAATCTAAAATTTTTTTATTTTCTAATTTTTAAATGTTTAAAAATATTTTTAGAATTTTTAGAATTTTTTAGTTTTTGTTTATTTAATGAGAATGATATATTTGACCTTTTATGTCTTAAAAAGGATTTCAGGGTAAAAAAATGATTTCTTCGTCAAGATATCAATTCAATATTATTAAAAAATATGGATACTAAAAAGATAATTACTCTATAACACATGATACTAATATGAAATTTTCTCATTTATTCTAAAAAAAATCAAATCTAAAAATTCTAACTAACTCATGCAATTCAAATTTCAAAAAACTAGTTATTTTGTTGAGAAAAAAAACAGACTTTTCAGAAAGCATTTCTAATGTAAAACTATAATTGATATGCCAATTACAAATTTAGCATTTGAGTGCAAAAAACACTGCAATACAATGCTATTTGTCGTGTCAAATTTTTTACATGCTATACTTTGTGATGATTTCCCACCAAATATAGCATATGCGAAATTTAACATTTGATTACTATTAGTTGAAATATTTATTTTTTCATGTAATCATAACAATTTTTACATTTTCTAATTATTTTAAAAACAAAAATTTACTTTTATAACTTTTAAAACTTGATGATTGATAATTTTTCTGATGTTTTTTCTTTTTAGGAACATCAGTTTTATCTATTTATCAGCTGTCGGGTTTGTATTATTTTTTTAATATAATTTTTAACTTTTGATTAGACGACTGATAAATAAAAAACACTAGTATTCTAAAAAAGAAGAAACATAAAAGAAAGATTATGAAAAATAATAAATAATATTATGTATTGAAATAAAAATAAACATAAAATATTATATCACATTTTTAATATTAAATATACAAATGTTAACATTTACATTAGAGATTATATCAAATTATCAATATATACGGGGGGCTCAAGAGAAATCAGAAAAGACACATCTCACGTAACTGGAATCCAGATTCCAAACTCACCTTCATATTAAAATAAGGGAGGAAAAAGGGGGACAACGTCAGCAACTTCAACTTGAGTACTTGACATTGACATTACTATTCAACCAGAAAAATAAAAAGAAAAACATATTTTATCAACTTTATTTTTCTCTGAGTTCTGAGTACATTTTTCTAAAGAAAAATATTAATTTGATCAAAATTATATAAAAACAAATAAAATACAATACTAATAAAATCTAATAATTTAAAATTAAACCCTCGCGGTAAAATATTTTTAATGCTTTATTGTAAAAAATTTTGTGAAAGAGGAGGATCTTTTTTTTCTAAAACTGAGAGAAATAAAACTTTTGATTAGAGCAAAGTCAAATAGTAAATAAACAATTAACATGAAAAAAAGACCTAATTAACACACAACACAACAGAACAGAAGAAAAAGCTCCCCAACCCGCCTTTTATTTTATATCCTCCGACCCCTTTTCTCATTCTCTCTCTTCCTTCGTCGAACAATTGGAGGGCACAACACAAATTCGAAGAACAGAGAAGAAATCAATCAATTCAAACCAAATCCATTCCAAGAAGCCAAGTAAATCTCCGACGAGGAACGATGTCTCTCCGACCGAGTAGCCGGACCGAGGCCCGCAAGAAGTCGTACAAGACCGGCGTCGACGCCGACGAGGCTCGCCGGAGGAGAGAGGACAATCTGTTCGAGATCAGGAAGAACAAGCGCGAAGATAATCTCCAGAAGAAGAGGAGAGACGGCCTCAATCTCTCCCAGCAGCAGTTGCTCGATGGCGTTCAGAATGCAGCTTTTGTCGAGAAAAGGGTACTTCCTAAAATAAAAATTGTTTCATTCATGTTTTAATTATATATGAATCGGTGTAATTGGTTTTGGATTTCGCTTTCTCACTCGAGTTTTCGTCCATCTGGAAGGGAATTGGAATTATTAATCGTGGATTTTCGTTGTTTACCAAGCGAAATGATTTTTTTTTCCCGAGAAAATACAGAAGAGGGGTTTAGGATGTAAATTCTGTTTCCACATATCTCTGCGGGTTTAATTTGTGGGTTTTATTCCCGGAGGGATCTTTTTGATCATTTTTGCTGTTGAAGTTAAGAGAATTTTAAAATTGAGTGAGGTAAAATTTACTAGTTGGTACCAGATTGTGAGATTGAAGGACAAATGATTAATGGATCTGGTGTGTTGGATATTTCGGTGGATTAAGATTATGATTTTCTGATTATCTTTGGATTTGTTAGTTTTCGAATTGTATTTTAAGAGTACTTTGAGCGTGTAATTACTTGGAAGCAGTTTTTCTTGCGTGGTTGGTTTTGTTTCTTTGATGCGAAGAACAATAGCGGGTGATATAATGAAGTTTAGATTTTAGCAGGACGTTATGAATGATCCCTCACAAACCCAAGCACTTTAGCTCTTGGATGGTGGTCCCTTTTTGGGTGCTAATGCTCTTGTAATTGTAGGTTTCATTTCCATTTTATAAATACGGAAAGTGAACAAAAACATCCATTAATGTTGGCTTTTACATTTTCTCGTCTTTTGATCGATGTATTATATGTTCAATGTTTAATCAATGTTTTCTTGGCAGTTGGAGAGCATTCCAGCTATGGTGCATGGGGTATGGTCTGACGATCCCGCCGCACAATTGGAGGCAACTACTCAGTTTAGAAAGCTACTATCAATTGGTAAGAAAGCAATTTATAATTTCTGTAATCGGAGTATGTGGAGAATATCCCCTTTGTCTTAACTTTTGCTTTGTATTTTATGTAGAGCGCAGCCCTCCAATTGATGAGGTTATTAAAGCAGGTGTAGTCCCTCGATTTGTTGAGTTCCTTGCACGGCAGGACCAGCCCCAATTGCAAGTAGGAAGTGTTGTTGCTTATGTTTTGTTTTTCTTACTTTACTCCTGTTCAAGTCAGATTAACTTTGAAGGGTACAATTAATTTCTAGGCCTTACACTATCTTAATTACAGTTTGAGGCTGCATGGGCTTTGACCAATGTTGCTTCTGGAACATCGGAGCATACACGAGTTGTTATTGATCAGGGTGCCGTCCCAATGTTTGTGCAACTTCTTAGCTCTGCCAGTGATGATGTCAGAGAGCAGGTTTTTGCCTGCCACTCCCCCTTTATTGATAGCTCTTGTGTCTTGTCTGATATAGAGCATCGTGACTAAATTTTTTCGACGTTCTAAATATTTATGTAGGGTGTGTATCCAAATATGTTTGTCTTGTAAATATTTGCTTCTTCTAGTTTAAGTTTTACTGCTTATTTTTATTATCCAAAGCTCTTTGCA